CCCCGCTGCCCTTGGGGCCTCGGGGCGCACCGCGAGCTCGGGCGAGCGGGGGCAGCGGCGTCTAGTGCCGAGCGGAGCAGAGCAGCTCCTGCGCTGCCGAGCCGGCAGCGTTGGCAGCCCTGGCCTTTCCCCAGGTCCCCCCGGCCACCCCACCACACCGCGAGGAGGAAGGGAGGAAGATGCTCAGAGGATAGAAATGAAAAGAGAGGCAAGATAACCAAGAAAAAAACACTGTTTCTTCGACTTTACATTTCAGCCTTACTCAGATTTGTTCTGTCTGCCCAGCTAAGGGTTAAGCTTAGCCATTGCCCTCCTGAGTCCGCACTCCTGCCCCGTAAGCACCTCAGTTTCCGTTTCTCCTCAGTTCTGCTACGTCCTTACGGTTCCCCAGCTATACGGTCCATTAAGTTGGTCGTTGTGACGTTCACTTCCAAAGATACTGGCTTGATCCCCAAGTCCTTCCTCGTGGGGAACCAGAGTCTGCCCGTATCGGGGTTGTGGCTTAGCCCAGGCAGTTGCTCCGGCACAGGGAGGTTCCTAGCGCTTGACCGAGAAAAACCTGCCGGCAGCAGAGATTTGCTCCACTTGCACCAGCCCCACGTGAATGAAGTTTGCACCAAATCACCATCAAGGGAAGAAAGAAAAAGGACAAATACTGATGAAATGCAAACTCCTTATCTGTGCTCGCCTCCTGCTTTTTGATTTGTTGACTGTTTGAAAAAGAAATTTTGCTGTTTCTAGTGATTTTATACTGTTTAAAAAAAAAAAAACAGGCAAAAAAGGCCCTCAAGCTAATCCGAATGTGTATTCAGCTGTTTTCTTCACAAACATTTAGGCTTTGAAATGCTCAGGATAAATGCTAGCCTATCTTGTAATCTCCGTGCAGATTTGGGTGAGGCGGATTCGCATCCCTTCTGTTACTCTTCACAATAAAAAGGGTTTTTCTTCATCTGCATTCAGCACATGATTTGGTTTTCTTTCCAAACTGCCAAAGGACTTTTGCATTTGCAAGGGTTTTGTATTTCTCTCGCCTGTGAGCTACCGGAGTAGTTCTCACCTGTAAGAAGGGTTCAGAGAGGAGCAGGGCTGGCGAGGTGGGGAGCCCCCGGCCGAGCCCCCTTCGCGGCAGGGTCCGGGAAGGGCCC